AGGCACTGTGCCTTTGTCCTGACCTCACACATATGACCACTTTTCAGCTTTAACATCTCCTAACAATATTTCCTCAAAGTGAGAAAGAAGACAGATAGTAGGTATAAATATAAAGAGTTCAAAATCAAAATAAATCAAAATCAAAGCTGAAGCAGAGAGAAAATGGAAAATAAACAAAAAATTAAATAAAATTCCTTCGGCTCCCACAGTATTGTGGTAGGGTTGAATTCAGAACCCTTAATTGTTGCATAGTACCATCAAAACTTCAGTAGCGTTAGTGCTGAATGTGGGGTTTCACCTGGTCTCCAGATGTGAGTGTCATGCCCAGGATTTAATCAGCAGCTTTCTGGAATGCTTGCTCATATCTTGTTACTCTGCCTGTCCACACACTGTTCTCCCAGTTGCTGTGGTGCCCGCAAACAGAGACAGCTGAAGGCTGCTCACAGGCCCACTCACAGTTGTCCCCTTCTGTACCTTGCACTGCCTCCTCTATTCCACACCACTGATTCCTCTCATGGAGTGCACCCACGTTGCACCACAGGGCATACAGCTACTAGCACAGTTGGTCACAAGTCCGAAAGAATGTGAATTTCTAGATCAAGGGTCCTTGTGACACTCATTTCAGGTTTGAGGTAAAATAATTTGCCACACCTTGTCTGCACAGGCCTGGGATGATTTCAATGAGGGTCACAAATCAGGTGGAATGCTGACTTCCTTCATAAAAACTATTTGCTACCGCTCACAGCCTTGTTTGTAGAGATTTCTGTTAGCCACATGGTACACAACAGAGAAAGAAAAAAAAAAACACCACTGCCCCATTAAAATGGAAGGAAGGGGTCCCTCACCCATATGAGTGATCATGAAATTGATTACTGAATTGCAGTGTTCCCTATTTCCAGAAAATCTTTAGTAAGTCATATATCAGGTCTATTCTGTATGGACTGAGTTTTCCACACATTTTCAATCTTTCCATCTTTTTAAAGAACTTCCTGGATTGCCTACAGGCAATCAATTTGTGGGCAATCTGAGGGCTATATGAACATTTAATCAGCTCCTATGCTTAAATCATATTTGATCAATATCTTGTCTCAAATTAATCATGACATCAGAATATATGTCCATGCCTTCTAATTATCTATGATTTTAGTACACTTCATCTGATTAGCTAAAATGTGATCCCTACTAATCTGTGCTGAATCTGCTCAACATTTTGTTCTGAAGGACAAGATTATTTCTTAAACTCAGAATAATATAAATGAAACATATCCATTAAAATAATCAAATCAACAGTTAATAACCTCCAAAGATATAATGTATCAGACCCAAACAGTCTCTCTCCTCAACATACATGAAAATGTTGATAAAATTATAAATTAAATTTAACAAATATAAAATGAATTATGTATTAGGCACAAGTGAGATTTATTAGGCATGCAATTTTGTTCAATGTATAAAAATCAACTAATATAGTTTAACATATTGAGAGGCTAAGAAAGGAAATTGTATACTTCCATGAACAGTTGAAGAACATCACTGATATGTGTATTATCATAAAAACATAGCAAAATTAGAAATAGTTGGGAACTCCCAAATATCCTATCCTAACAAGGCAATAACTTTGAGGTTAATGTGGGATAGTAACCCTATTTTCTATAGGCTAGAAATAAAAAATTGGAAATAAAAAACAATAATGTTTACATTAGTAAACATTAATATCATAAAATGATATTTTCACAAAGTACAATAAGCATATATAAAATAAATGATAAAAGTTGGATTAAGGAATCAAAGAAATAGACAATAGTAATGGGAAGGAAAACACCATATTATTAAGACTCCTGTTTTTATTTCTTTTCTTCTTTTGTCTTTTTTCATATATATTTTTCATTCATTTTAATGAGAAAAAGATAGAAATGAAACAGTTTCAAAACAGGTTAGTAGGACAGTTACAATAATTAATACATTGTATATTGTTGTCTTTGTACTAGTTCTTCAGAGGAGAGATGCAAATGCCATAATATTGTGTAAACAATATTAGTACAAATCTTTCTTCTCAATGAACTAAAAGAAAGTAGCTGTATATCTATTCTAAATATCTTGTGTTCCTTTCCCCCCTTTTTTAACAAAATGGTCCTTTATTTATATCCCCCTTCAGTTTTTCTTAACTTGATTGATAAGCTCTATGCCAATCTTCTTATCACTCTATCCACTTATTGTTTCAATACTGATGAACTATTACCAAAGTCTAAACAGAGAAGCAAAAGACAGGGAATATCTAACAAATGATTAAAAGAAAAGAAGAAACAGGAACATCCGTGAAAGTGTTCAACAGAAATCCTCACTAGAGATAGGAAAGAAAAGTCCATTTTGGCAAATGGCCTTTCAAGCACAGCATCACAGGACAGCCTCTTGCCTGATCAACAGAAAATTCCTCAAACTTACCATTACTATTGAGGTCTAATTCTTTCCATTATAGCCATCATCCCACTCTCTATCCCATCCTTCCATCTGTCTTTGTCTATCCCAGTTACTTCCATCCCTCACACTTAAGAATCATCACCACTCAAAATCTTCCACTTCCTCCATACATTTGCCACAATTATAATTTTCTGTATTAGACTCCTTCATTTCATCTGCTTTAAGATTCTTACCCTCAATTCTTCTATCTTCTGCACTCTAGGGATATCATCAATTCAACAGTTTTACCAACTAGTGTCCCAGCACTTTCAATACTCTTGTCCTCCTTTCCTATAACTATAAATATATTCCTCTTCCAGTGATTGTGCCAATCTTCAGTTATTTCTGTATACCTCATTCCCAAGCACCCATGGATAAAAATAGTTCATGTCCTCATGGTCTGTAAGGCCAGTCTCTATTACATCATGTCTGTGATTCCTATGCTTTCATCTTGAGCTGGATATCCATTTATACTTGCAATTCCAACTCTATTCAAGGCTTTTTCAAGAAGTCAACACATGCTTATCATCCTTCAGGCTGCAACTCCTCTTTATAATTTTCCCCTTTCTCTGCATCAAGTGTAGATGACTGTGACAACCACTCTGTGCTCCTGAGTTGGGTGAGAAGTGTTGGTTTCTCTGATAATGAAAGGGATGGACACTAACACTATCTCAACCTAGTGGATTCAGTTGTGAAGACTTCGTGAGATCTTTCCATCTTATGGCTACTCTTCTTTTCACACCTCCTAGCTCTACTGGCTTCCAACATCAAGAAGGTACATATCCATACATGCCTGTATAATACAAACTTCAAGATTACTTCCACTGTTATCTGGGCTTCATGGGTTCTCATTATTCTTTTACTCTATCTGCATGGCTTTGACCTGTCCTCAGATATTTTGTTTACTTTCATTGCTCATAAGCTATATTATGGTGAGCTTTGGCATTATGGTGCATATTAAATAATACCTTTTGCAGTAGGGAATCTTTACAGGGCCTGGGAGAATTCAGTGGGGCAACAGAACTTTCCCACATCTCTCTGTGTCAGACCTCAGCATTCTCTACTCTTCACCACAGGGGAGTCTGCTCTCAACACTTCAATGGTCTCTTTAGAGATTTCAGTCAAAAACTTAAGTGTTCTCATTAATTAAGAACTGCAAATAGTTTTTCAGTATTATTCTTTCTCACCAAGGTTACCTTGTCGTTGCTATTAATGATGAAAGAATAATTGAACTTTCATGGAAAGGTGAAGTCACAGAGTTACAGCATTTTATCTCAGAAGACAGACAAAATTACTTTGGCTGATAGCGATGCTTACATTTCAAACTGTGCAGTTTGTGTTATTTTATGCTGAGACAAAGCATGGAAGATAAGTAGAAATACATATCAAACCTTTAGATTTGTGGTCAGAATGGACAGTGTAACTTTTCGCAGGTCAAAACTGATGCAGGTGAAAGCCACACAGGAGGGAGAAATAATTTCTGAAGCAAACACTGAGCTGGTAAGGAGAAATGGGGATCCTAGATGATCGACACCACTTCAGATTACAAATAATGAGAAATAATGTCATTTTCACTGAGTGAAACTACAAATCTGTGACAAAATTTTAAAAGGTGTGATTATAAAATGTACATGTCTTTAGGTCTTTTTATTGCATGTGTGATGATCTTTGTGTTAATAATATCCACAAATATCACCTCTCTGCTGTTTCACCTCTATAGCTTGTAAATTAATAATGATATGTGAGCTTAATAAATTTGATAATAACACTACATATTTGAGCCCGTGTTTATGTTTTATATACCACTGTTTAGAGAAAGAAATGAGAGTACTCAATAATTTTTGTGATGTTTTATTCTATACAAAATTTTATCACAAAACAAAAATCTCCATTCTCATTTCTAGGTTCAGCCTTTCTTACATTTCTTGAAGCTAAAATCTTACATATTTTAGAGCAATCAGCATATATACATTTTACTAGCACCTCTTAAATTTCATAGTTATTATCTTATACTATAAAATATTAACAAAAGTTGAATTTAGTGTGGAAATATAGAGATCTTAACAACATAAAACAAACTAATCAAGTAATAATGATAACCAATGAGATAACAATCTCTTAATGAATGTGGCTCACTGAATTTGCTAATATCACATTGTGAAAACGCTACTTGTTGAATGAATGTATGCCAGTCAGAATCCCCATTTTTCCTCAAATGTGGTACTTGTGTATGGCGGTATTTGCTTAAGGCAGTAGTGCTTGCTATATTGATTTCTGCCAAAAGTGACTACAATGATGGCTGTGTAGCACTTGGCCTTAGATGAAAAGTTCTTAGTTATCTACAGCTGCACTTCAATTTTTGAACACAATCCAGTGTATGAAAACCCACAAGTGTTTCTAAAGGAAATTGACAGTACGTGGAGAACACTGTTACCCAGTCTTCATTATAAAAAGTCTATATTATATTATCGTGAAGGCCTCTCTGGTTCTGAAGACTAAAATCAGCCTGACAAACTATCAGAATGGCCTTCTCTGAGGCAGTGATGGGAGTGGTTTTCTTATTACAGACTGTATGTGGAGTCCTTGGAAATTTGTTTCTTCTTCAACACTATCTCCTTCTTTACTTCACTGGACATCGGTTAAAGCCCACAGATTTAATTCTCCAGCACTTGATGGTGGCCAATTCTTTATCCTTGCTCTCTAGAGGAATCCCCCACACAATGGCAGCTTTTGGCTTGCAAGATTTCCTCAATGAACTTGGATGCAAAGTTGTGTTCTATCTTCATAGAGTGGGCAGGGGTGTGTCCATTAGCGTCACCTGCCTCTTGAGTGTCTTTCAGGCTATCACCATCAGCCCCAGAAACTTCAGGTGGACAAAGCTTAAAGCAACAGCCCCTAAGTATACTTGTTTCTGTGTTTTCCTGTGTTGGATCCTGCAAATGCCTGTGAATATACTTTTTTCTCTTAATGTAACTGCAAAATGGAACAAAGAAAACATTACACGGCAAAAAGACTTGGGATTCTGTTCTGCAAATCATTCTGACATGATCACTCTATCATTATTTGCAGTTCTGTTATTGTTTCCTGATGTTGCAAGTTTGAGCCTCATGCTCTATTCCAGCACCTCTATGCTTTCCATTCTGTACAGGCACAGGCAGCAGGTCCAGTATATCCACAGGATGAATGGCTCCTCTAGATCATTCACTGAGTTCAGAGCTACACAACGGATTCTGCTTCTTGTGAATACTTTTGTGTCATCTTACACTCTCTCCTCCATCTTCCAGGTCTGCATTTCTAATTCTCCAAAACCCAGTTGGTTCTTTATAAACTTTGGTGCATTTATCACTCTGTGCTTTCCAGCTTTCTGTCCCTTTGTGCTGATGATCCCTGACTTTCAATGTGCAGACTCTCTCTCTAAGTAAGGAACAGAAAGTACTTATTTCTTTGTTCACTCATCTCTCTGGACTCTAAGCACCACTGTGAATTTTTCATTTTAGAACAGTGAAGAAGAATTTTCCTGTTCTGAAATTCTGATTAACAATAAATCATAGAAGCACTACCAGTGATTTATAAATAACACAACTTTTACTATGTGATTTCTTCAATAAGTTGCTTCTTTTTCCATGTTAGAGTACAGCTCTTATAGAATACAAAGAAACCCCTGGTTTCACTGTCCTTCTGGAGATTATGGTGTTGTCATTGAGTATATAACATTCAATTTGACACAGTAAGTTTAGAAAGCAAGGAAATAACCTGTAAATTTCTGGGGAAAAGGTACAAGAAGTAATTAGCATGTAAGGTGGTCAGTAAACAAACTAGATAAATGAATATTTTAAAGGAAGAATGGAGACATATGAGGTGAGGCTGAATTGATAGCAGCTACAGTTAGAAAGTGTATTTGGGGCCCCAAAATGAATTGTATTTTTCTTTCTTGTGGACCTGGTATCCCATTGGCATAATGATACAAAGGAGATAAATAAATTTTATTTTCATGCCGAAATGCCCATAAAGTCTTTTCTTTTTTACCCAAACAGAACCCAAATACCCAGTATGTCCTGTTTCATGTTTTAAGTATTTTTTGCTGCAATGCAGCAAACTATATAACATTTTACAGTAGAGATTTCCCAAATAACTTTCACTGATTCTCAGAGATTTTTCTTCTCAAAATATCACTTCATCTTGTATACTTTTCTTTAGTATCCATTTGGGCAGAGATTGGTAGACATAAAGTACATCTAATCATTCTGCGATTCACTTGTTATTGAACATATAGAGAAAAATAGACGAGCTGTGTTTCTTTTACTAGAAGGAATATTATTGTAAAGACAAGGAGAAATTATCCTCACTGCCCCAAAGGAAAAGAATCATAAATTCTTGGCCATGGTTTTTCTTTCAAGTTGCTGCTGAGCTGTCTTCCCATCGTAATCCTTATTCTTTTCACCTGTCAGTATTCAAGAGTCCAATCTGATGTCATGATGACTTTATCCTTACCATTGTTCTGTCCCACTGTTTTAAATTATTCTTTCATTTTTATAAAGGAGTTCTGCTTACTTATTTTGGTCTCAAATGCTTCACAGTAGTTCCATTCTCGCTTGGGGAATGTGTGTGTGCAGGGTCTTCTTTTTTGACATCTTATAATCTCTTTGAATGGTGCTAACATAATAATTTTAGTGTGTATGTGTGTGTGTGTTGTGTATATGTGTTGTGTGTGTATGTGTGTCTTTATTACAGTTTGAATAACATCAAATGCTCTTCCAATGAATCCTGAGGAATTTGTGGTTTAACATTATACAAGGTATAACTTCATTAAAATACAATGGTAGGGCCAGGGAGATAGCTTAGTAGAATAAGGACTTGTCTGGAAAGCTAGGGTCCTGAGTTCAATCCCTGGTACCTCAAAAAAAATATAATGGTAAAATAATTAGGTTACGCTAACCAGAATATTAAAGTAAAACTTTGGTTGTGTTTCTTTGAGTCATCAAAATTGATGTTCTTAGGAAATGTAAAGTATGTGAAAATATCACATCAATTTGCAGTATAAGTCAATGTCACACTATTTTATGGACATTGCTGGACATGTTATTTATTATGTATGTATGTTTATAGTTATGTATGTATGTATGGGTGTATTCATGTATTTATTATTTATCATGCTGGAGTTTCTTGTATAAATGTAATTTTGACATCAGATAAATATGTTTCTAAAATTCGATAGCACTAACGTGAGGAATTCCTTGTGGAAAGTTTCATATGGGATGTTAAAATCAGTGTTGAAAACACTGAGATTAAAATCTTCTTTTCAGGTAATTGATTAATATTCTCTTAAAAATTTTACTAGACACAAAGATAGAGTTATTATTCAAAGACACAATGAATGTTTCCTTGGTGCAGAAGATGGGTACTGTGTCTATCTTCCTAAGATATTTTCTGTGAACTCAAATGAAAAAGTGTACTGAAAAAAATGCATGTTATTGACACGCACACATGCAATTATAAACCCATAGAAATTAATCTCAAAACAACACCCACTCTTCATTCCTGCAATGTCCAGTAGCTGTCAATTTGGTAGGTCTCATACTTTTCACTGAAAACTATAATGTAGAATATTTTGGGTGTCTCCTTGTCTTTCTCACTGCTTTTTTAAAATTAATTTTATTGAGAAACATATAGCAATGAGACAGTTTCAAAACAGGTTACTAGGACAGCTACAATAATTAATGCATTGCATACTGTTTTCTTTGTAGTAGTTATTCATAGTACAAGATGCAAACAGTGTTTGGATATCCTGTCCAAACAGTACACTATTAGTACAAATCTTTCTTCTCATTGAATTAAGAAAGATTAGCTGTATATCAATCTCAGCTTTCTTGCTGCAAGAGGAGTAGATTTTCTTTATCATTTTATTTGTTTGAATGGAACCTCATTTCTTTACTTTTGCTTTTGTAGCTGAGCTTTCACATTGCTGTCCAAAGCTCCTGGCCCAGAGAGTGGCACAGAAAATTCTCCCTGTCCTTTGTTCTCATAATTTATACTTTTGTACTTTATATCTATCTCTTTAATTTGCTTTGAGTTATTTTTTGTATAAGACATGAGAGAAAACTTGCAAACATCCAGGATTCCAGTAGCACTTATCAATGACAGTATCCTTGTCCAAATTTGTGTTCTTCATATGTTTGTTGAAAACAATTTGGTTATGAGTGTATATACTTCTGGTACCACTGGGTCTGTGTGCTTATTTGTGTGTTAATTCCATGCTGCTTTTCATGTAACAGTTTAATATGTGTAGTGTCTGATGTTTCTAGCTATTTTACTTTGCTCAGGCAGGTCATCCATAATGTGTCATTTTTGGCTACACCTGAGTACTAGGATTTTAGTAATTTGAGTAAAGTATGAAATTTGTATTTTGATGGAGAATTCACTACATATTGATATTTAAACAACATTAATTCTTCAAGTCCATGATCGCAGGTTTTTCTTTCTGCTTAATTGAGTCCTTTACAATTCTTTCATGAATCTTTTATAATTGTAGAGATCTTTTACTTTCTTAGTTGCATTTATTCCTAGTACCTTTTTATTTATGCTGTGAATTTCCTATTATCATTTTCAAGATAATTCAACCTGAGATTAGCCTCCCTTGTTCATTGTGTTTTAACATTTTGCTAAGTTCCTGAATTATTTTTGCAAGTGTTTTAATAAAAATATTTGCACCCATGTTCTTCAGGAATATTAACAAGTAAATTACATTTTCTGTTAAATTATTGCCCATTTCTTTATCACACTAATGTTGGTCTCATACAATGAGATTGTAGGCATATATAATTTTGTACTACATTATGTTGAAGTTTTTCCTTAATTCATTAAGTTACTATTTGTACCTTCTTTTAGCTACTCAATAATATTAGCCATTGTTTTCTTAGTTGCTTTTAGCCTTTGCACGAAGTCAATAATTTTATCTATTTGCTTTTTGAACATTTTGTCTTGAATTTATTCCCTTCACGGTAAAGTCAATTCCCTTCAGTGTCAAGGGGCAAGGTGAGACGTGTTATAAATTTTTGGTTCACGTTTGCTTGTTTTATGACTCTTCACTTTTTCTTCTTCTTTACTGGTTTTAAGCTTTATAAATTTTATTTTACATTTATTTAGCTTTATTTCATGTCCCTTTTATTTAAATAAGTACTTATAAAGTATTACAATTTGTGCTAACTTTCTACAACAATCAAGTCCCAAGTTGCATTTTGTGGGATCATTGATATTTGAATGCCTGAGGATTTGCTTCTCTTTTATCCATCAATTTCCTTTTTTTTGCCATAATTTTATTGATAAACAAATAGCAATGAGACAGTTTCAAATCAAATCAGTAGGACAGTTTCAATAATTAACCCACTGCATACATTCTTCCTAGTGGTTAATTGCTGTACCAGATGAGGACTTGAGATCCTATTTACAAACACCATTAGAACAAATCATTCTATTCATTAACACAATGTAACTATATATCTATCCCAACCACTTTGAGTCCTCTGCATGGTTAACGACCTAAGTTTGCAGACCAAACTTAGAGAAAAAAGAGGGCTGCAAGGAAAGCCGACATTTTGGCCCTAACCTTCTAAGGTCAATTAAGACTCAGGACATATGAGAACTTGTACTGTAATGTCATCAATTTCCTTTTATTAGGACTTTGTGTAAATCAATTCCATAATATCAGAACTTGCTATGAATCAGATCAACATACAGATAACCACATACATTCTAAGTGTTGGTAACTATCAGATAAGGTGTAAATTGGAATGTTCAGTCACACATGCAATAACATTTGGTCTTCTTGGTCTGGTTGTTTCCCTATAGACTTTTAAAAATAGAATATGTGGACGTGTCTTTCAAGATCTACTATGGCGATATGAAGCTTTGGAGACCATTAGCAACATTTTGTGACCACACAAATAAGATAGTTCCATGATTGCCTTCCTTTTAAAAAAGATTCTGTGTATCTATCAAGCAGCTGCAGAATATTTGTTATTTCTTTGAGTCGCCAAAATTGCTGTTACCAGAAATTGTAAAGTATGTTAAAGCATCCCAATTTGCAATATGATTTCATGTCCCACTACTTTATGGACATTGGTTGGCATGTATTTATTATGTATGCATGGCCAACTTTGAGGATTTGCATCAGGTTATAATCATGTACATATTTGGTCTGAAACTAGAAAATGTTCCTCATACATATATTCTTATCTATAGTTTTGTTAAATGTATGTTGCAAGAATATAATCATGTTTGTAAATTTAATGCAAATTAGATTCTAGTCTTCACTTTCCAGATGCTTGATTTACATTTTTTGTTCCTTCATACTTTTGCCTTCTAATGGAAAGATTTACAAACTTCCCTTTAAAGTGACTGCATTTTTAATTGTGATAAGTAATTA